CTGAAGAAAATAGAAAAGTCCGCTAGAAGAAAGAAACATCCTTTTGTCCATCATATATATCAATAAATTATTCCTTTGATTTGAATTTATTTAATCGTTTCTTATATTCATCTTGATAAAAAAATCATACGACAAGAAAAGTCCTGAAGAAAATAGAAAAGTCTGCTAGAAGAAAGAAACATCCTCTTGTCCATCATATATATACAATACATTATTCCTTTGATTTGAATTTATTCAATCGTTTCTTGTATTTATCTCGAGAAAAAAATCATATGAAAAGAAAAGTCCTAAAGAAAATAGAAAAGTCCGCTAGAAGTCTGTTTGAAACAAATTTAATAAGAAAAATCTGTAGTTAGCGAGATAGATAAAAGTCAAGGTCTCATTAAAAGTATTATGTTAATAATCAACACGTTGGGCTTGAAGATTCAAAAATTTTAGTTGTAAACGTCTTTGAAATATGAATAGATAGACAACAAGCTTGTTCTAATGACACAAAAGTATAATTTTCTTTACATTGAGTACTTAATGAATGTTTAGCATTAACATTATTATTTCTTCTAAGTTTGATGTAAACAAAAACTGATTATCAGATTGTGTGTATTAGTTTTCTTGATAATTTAGTAAATCAAATAGATAATTTCAGCTAAAAGCAGCTTTTTAGAGAATGAAAAGAAAATAACGAAAATATGCTTGAGAAGATTATGAAACCTTTGCTTTTGAGTTGAATTGATAATTTCGTGTGCTTTCCAAAAATAACAAGGCGAAACATTTTATTATGAATACCCGCCAGATAAATTGACAGTGTGCCTTTTTTCGATATTTTTAAACTTAATCTAGTAAAATCCATAACTTATAGCCATTGATAAAATCAAAAGAAAGCGTTGGTATTATACTGACATAATTTTTTTTGTGGAAAAGGCTTGAAACAATATAGAACATCTTTTAAGATACACACTATTAGCCTGTTTCGAGAACTGCTCGATTTCATTCAGATACTGATGTTATTTCAAATTTATTTTTGATATCATAAAAATAGTAAAGACATTTCATTCTAAATGTCACTTTTTGAACAATCTTTTTTTTTATCTTGCTCGTTCTTTCGTCTTATTCTTCTACGTAACATGAATATGTTCAAATTAGAACATAATCATATAAAGTAGAATGATAAAACGAAAGAATAACAAGTATAAAAAGCAATAGATCTTTCAGAAAAAGATAGAGAGAATGAAAAGGATGCAGTATTTTGACTATGAACTACTTTTTATTAGCTTTAGTGATTTATAAATTATCGAGAATTGAACTAACATGCTTTGCCAAAACTTTTCCCCCTATCAAAATAATTTCAAGTAATTCCATTATTCTAGACGAAGATAAATTTGATGTTACAGAATTAAAATTTTCTACATCAATAAAAACTAATATTATTGATAATAAGTTAACTTTTAATAGAACTATTTAGCTGCATTTTTTTTGCGGCATAATGCAATTTATTCAATTTTTACTTGCATGATAAAAGAGAAAAGTACTATTTCTTAGGTTTTTCTGTATTTATGGTAAAATAAATTTTATACTATTAATTTGCAGTGTATTTCAACAAAAAAGTCTGACACAATTCGGTTTTTATTCATTCCATCTTAATAGCTTTTTTTTTGTAATATAACTCGAATCACATAACATTAAGAATAAGAAAAATCGGAATCTTTTTTGTGCACTAATTTTTTTCTTGAACGCTGATATACAAAAGCGCAGTGTATGTGAATTTCATACATGATATGGAATGCCCTCTTTCATCTTTTAAGAGGCTATGTGTATTTTTATTGCAATGGTGATTTTGTGTGTGTACGTGCAAGTATGTGTAGCTTATCTCAACCGGACTTTTCGAGCACAATTCGATTCATTTGACTATTTTATCTATCTATGAAAATGAAAGAATATTAAGATAAAAATATAATTGAATGACATCTATAGAAATAGATAACCAATGATTTGACACATAATCATTTATTTTAAATAAAAACAAGAATAAAATGAAACAAAGAAATTAAAAAGTAATGGTATAGATGCAAAACATACTCCGAAAAATAATATCAATTATTTATTTCATGAGAAGAAAAAAAATGATTGTATCATTTTCATACAATAAGTGTCTATAGATATCTAAATATTCAGTTTTATATAAAATAGAAGTCAGAAGAAAAAAACTTATTTCTTTCATCGAAAATGCATGAACAAAAAAAGTTTCACTTAACTTCATATATAATAAGAAAATGAAGACAAGAAAAAGAAATAGGTGAATATGATAAATCGAATGAGTAAATTCATTGACTCAACTTTATATCGAATATGAAAATGAAAGAAAGAAAGAAAAAGAAATAGTTGAATGTAATTAATCGAATAAGCATATAGATTGACTCAACTTCATATTGAATATGAAAGTGAAGGAAAGAAAAAGAAATAGATGAGTATGATAAATCGAAATGTTTTTATATTCACCTCGAGAAATAAAATCATGTGAAAAGAAAAAGCCTGAAAAGAGTAGAGAAGTCCGCTGAAAGAAAGAAACATCCTCTTGTCCATCGCATACGTGCAATAGATTATTTCTCTGATTTAAATCTATTCAAATGTTCTTATATTCACCTCGATAAATAAAATCATATGAAAAGAAAAGTCCTGAAGAGAATATAAAAGTCCGCTAGAATACAGAAATATCCGCTGGTGGAGTATTTATATTTTGCTCTTCCTATCGCTACTGATATATGTGACATTTCATAAGGTACGAAAAGTCCCACATATTCATAGAGGACTTTAGGTAAAGTGGACATTTTTTGGACCTTTGACATTGCTGG